ATAGTTTAGAGATGTAATGTTTCAATCTGACACATTCACATATGCTTTAGAATTTTTCTGCCTTCTTACGTCAGGAGGGCATATTAAGGGCACCTCAGATTAAGACCAGACAGCACAATCAAAGGAATAAAAGTTGAAGATAACAGATTGAAAGACAGCAGCCTACAGCTGGTATTGTGCTGTTCATAACTGTAGAACAGACTGAGACAACTCTTTCCTGGAATTTGAGACCTGGTTTACATCTCTAATGTAAGATCAAGCTGTAAAATAATTAGGGAAAAATCCGATGACATCATTATATCTGTTGGAGATTTGCGGGTTCATTCTCTAACCAGAATTTTAGCTGGAAAGGGGGAAAAATTAAGATTATCTAAACCCCAAAGGAGTAAGGACTTGGGGTAAAGTTTTCAGAAGCACCCAAGTGGCTTAGGAATTGTCGTAGGGTCCCCATCTCAGAGCACCCCCCATGGCATAGGTTGGCCCTGCAGGTATTCCACCCTCAGTTTCCCCTTCTCAGAATACTTCTCCAGCACTCTCTGAGGCTAGTAACACCCACAGCACGGGGCAACTTATTAATATGGATGTCTCAAATCACAAAATAAAGTTCAATGCCATTGGTTCCAGCTCTACCACCTTCTGTGACTCCAGGCTCTTTATGAATCTACACCTTCCTTCAGACTGGAGGGCTCTCACTCTTACCCCAGGAGTCCCCTGCTAGAGTCCAAAGCGCCCATACAAAGGGCCAACACAAACAATGTCCTCCCACCCTGGGCCCATAGAAAGTACCCATTCCGCCTCGGTTCTCCTCCAGGTCATTTCTCCTTATGCAGAACAGTGGCAAAAGCGGGGGCTCCCCAGGGCTTTCCTCTGGCTTGAGTCTCCACCACTCAAGCTTCACTACTTCTGGTCGGCCTCCCTCCTTCCTGGCACCCAAGCCTCCCTCTCTATCACTTGACCTCAGGTGCTCACCACCCCTAATCAGGCCTAGCCAGGGCATTTGTGTTCAGTCATGGGTGACCTTAGACTCTCCTTAATGGAACTTTTCCCCCTGTGACAGGAGCCTACGTCCCACTTGCAGAAAAGCCAGGCTTAGGGCCAGATTTACAAAAGTCACCTAAAGATGCAGATAGGTGCCTAACTCACTTAGGCGCATAGTGGGATTTATCAAAGTGCCTTACTCCCATTGACTTTCATAGATTTCAGGGCCAGAAGGTACCACTGTGATAATCTAGTCTGACCACCAGTACAACAGAGGCCACAGAACTTCCCCAGAATAATTCCTGGTTGATACAGAACAAATCTTTAAAAAACAAACACCCAATCTTGAACTAAAAATTCCCAGTGATGGAGAATCCATCACAACCCTTGGTAAATTGTTCCAGTGGTAAACATGTATGCCTTATTTCCAGTCTGAATTTGTTTAGTTTCAACTTCTAGCTAGTGGATCATGTCAGACCTTTGTCTGCTAGACTGAAGATTAACTCCATGGCAGGGCCTAACCTGCTTTGACCCTTTTGAAAGTCCCACCTGGCACTTTTCTCTAGGCAGCTAAACACCTGTGTAAATTTGGCCCTAACTGCCCAACTCACTCTCGAAAATGTGCCTTAGGCTCCTAGGTCACCTAGGTGCTTGTCAAAATTTTGCCCTCATTTAAATTTTCTATGGATGCAGGCATTAACTGAACAAAGAAGCAGTTGGGCAGGTGGGAACAGATCCATCTTTTCGTATGGGGGAGAGCAAACATCACTAGGCTTGGGAGGATTCAATTTTTATCAGTATATACGTCAGTAAACGTTGATTTCACCATATAAACACAAACTGATGAAAAAATTTTAAAAATTACAGATAGGCCAAGCAAGAGAAATGCTGATTAAGAAGTTTTCAGCGTTTGATTTGAGGCTATTGACTTTGTATTTGTGGACACGTTGTTTTACCACTTACTAAACTTTAATTTTTTGAATCTCAACCGCTACTGGCATTAAATAATTGTTATCTGACCAGCCCCATCATTGCCTGATGTCCCCGTAATGCCCCACAACTGTGAAAATTTAAATAGATAAAAATAGAGGGAAAATGCTTAAAAATAAATATTAATATTTTCTGTCCAAATTAAAAATTGAATTTTGCCAAGCCTCATTAGAAATAAGGCTACGAATCGGTCACAGAGTCCATAATTTTAAGAGATGTCTGCTTTGGCTTCAACCCCAGGGGGGCAGGGCTTGGCTTTGGTGTTGGGTGTCAGCTCCATTTCCGTGATTTATTGTTTCTTGCCCATGTCCTGTCTGTGATTTTAATAAAAATACTTGTGCCAAAATTGAAGCCTTAATTATAAACAATTAACATTGTACCAAGATTGCTCCTCAGTTGCCGTTCTCATGACACTGTTTCCCCTTGTTGTCATAACAATAGGCTCCTCTTTCCAAGGACGGCTGTGTAGGAGGAAAATGGGAATTAGGACCTGCACTGGCTCTCCTGCCCCTGTGGTAGTTCCTACACAATGTGTCTTCTGTGGCCCTGTCTGCCTGTATCTCAGAAATGACTGTGCTTGTTCTTTACAGGTAATTGATGACAATGAAAGAAAGTACAAATCAATACGTGTGCGCAAACCTCCTACAACTAAACCATTGACCTATGGCTCCCATTATGCTGTATCCAGCACATCAGATGTAGAGATAACACCTGAGGTGAGTGAAATTATCTTCTGTGCTTCAATGAAGGCATAAAAATATCAGGGCCCTCTCCTGAAGTCATCATTGCAACTTAGTCATGGCACTAGGGGGCGCTGTGCTGCAGGGAGCAGGGTGGGGGGGTATAGTAGGGGGCGCTTTCCCCTCACAGTCCGTGTTGGCCCCAGTGCCCCTGTATAGTGCTGCAGGATGATGTGCTCAAGGAATTTTGAAGCAACATTTGGATGCACTGAAGGAGAGAGGTGAGGAGGTTGCAATAATCAAGGCAAGAGATGACTGAAGCCTGGAGCTAGGTTCTACTGGTAACTGGGATATCCTCTGCACTGTTGATTCCCAGCTCTGTTGGCTCTGGCAGGGTCACCCCTAATGGAGCGCCTTGTCTTCACTGCAGGAGCTGGAGTTCTGTTATGTAGATCCCCAGGATGAACATCCATACATGGAGATTTACACCCAGGACTTGGTGGACAAACTGGAGCTCAGCTTGGTGAAGCAAAGTGATAGGCAACTGATCTGGAAGGCCCTTGTGAGACCAGGTAGGTTCATCTCAGCAGAAGATCTTGGCAGGGGTGAGAGGTTTGTACAAGAAAACCCCTCTCGGCACTTGCTGATGGTCAGTGCAAAACTCAGGTGCCGACCAAGGCAGTGGGGGTGCACCACAGCCTTGTCCTATTGTGATGGACTTGGAGCTGCCTTGTAATATTGTATTGATACAGTATGGTGGCTTGGTGATTGTGGTGTTTGCTGAAACCATATATTGACTTAAAGTATCAGGGGGTAGCCGTGTTAGTCTGTAGCCACAAAAACAACGAGGAGTTGGGTGGCACCTTAAAGACTAACAGATTTATTTGGACATAAGCTTTTGTGGGTAAAAAACTCACATGCATCTGAAGAAGTGGGTTTTTTACCCATGAAAGCTTATGCCCAAATAAATCCATTAGTCTTTAAGGTGCCACCGGACTCCTCGTTGTTTTTATATATTGACTTAGTTTATCCAGAAAAGGCACTCAGAGGTGGATGGCTCCTGATAGCTACTTCTCAGCAAACACTTAAGGGCTTTAAAGGCACAACTGTTAGCATTGTGTTGATAATACTGGCTCTGTCAACAGCTGAGCCTATCAGACCAGATTACACAGAATAGCCTTTGCCCTGCAAAGAGAGGAGAACACAGTCCCTGGAAAGTTCAAAGAGAGACATTCTCTCGGGAGGAGAGTGAGAGGTAAACAGAGACCCCAGGGTCTGCTGGGGTTGTCTGGAGAAGTTAGGCCTGCCTAGGTAACCATTATGGGTTAGTAGGACTATAGGTAAAATACAGAGACAATGTGGGTGAGGTAATATCTACTATTGGACCAACTTGTGGTGTTGAGAGATACATGCTTTTGAGGTAAAATAGACATGCCTGTAGGCGATATGTAGTTTTAAAATCCTTTCCACTGAAGGTTTCGTTCCTACTAAATAAACAAACAGTACTTTTGTTTTAAGAAAACAACGAGGAGTCGGGTGGCACCTTAAAGACTAACGGATTTATTTGGGCGTAAGCTTTCATGGGTAAAAAACCCACATGCATCTGAAGAAGTGAGTTTTTTACCCGCAAAAGCTTATGCCCAAATAAATCTGTTAGTTTTTAAAGTGCCACTGGACACCTTGTTGTTTTTGTGGATACAGACTAACCCGGCTACCCTCCTCCTTGTTTTAAGAAGACTCTCTGGTCGCTATAAACCACTAGTCATAGGCTCCTGAAGGGAAGACCAGCATTTTTGAAGAACATAAGAATGATCCTTTTAGCCCAATATTCTGTCTTCTGAATATTCTGTCTTCAGTCAGAGGCTTAGGGACACCCTGAGTATGCAGTCGCATCCCTGACCATCTTGGCTAGTAGCCATTGATGGACCGATCCTCCATAAACTTATCAAATTTTTTTTTTGAACCCAGTTATAGTTTTGGCTTTCATGACATCCCTGAGCAACGAGTTCCATAGGTTGACTGTGCATTGTGTGAAGATGTTTCATTTTGTTTGTTTTAAACCTGCTGCCTATTAATTTCATTGGGTGACTCCTGGTTCTTGTGTTATGTGAAGGGGTAAAAAAAAATTTCTTATTCACTTTCTCCACAATAATTATAATTCTTCTTCGAGTGCTTGCTCATATCCATTCCATTAGGTGTGT